GTCCAAAGGGTTCAAATGAACTGGGCCTTCACGTCTTATGGGGGCCCTCCAAGGACCAGAAAAAATGGCCAGCTGCGTTGTTTTGTTCTAAAAAGTTTAACCTCCCCGCTGGAACCGCAGAAAAGAAGTCTGCAATGGATTTGTTTTCTTCTCCTGTAGCCCTATGAGAGTGAATATTACCTGCAAAAATTTAACCCTATTACATGTTTAAGAGCGAGCAAATTGTGTATAAATGAAACTATGTGTGGTTGCTTTTCGAGTGTTATTAAAAACGTTTCTGTGAAAGTTATATATAGATCTCATTTTTTATAGGCGCCACCTTCTCCAGAAGATTTGGCCCACCTCCTTGTCATACTCAAAAAATTTTTATTTTAAACCATCTGTAATAATTGTTGTGATTAATAGGCATTTACAGTATGCATAAGAGCACTATAACGAGAAGCACTTCAATGTGTGTTGTATGAAATCAAAAGTAACTAGATGATTGGTAGCATGTTTACTGCAAGCACATGCGCACAGTTTCTGAAAAGGTCCACCTGTCAACTTCAGCAGTGCTCGCACGTAGACAACGAAAGCGTGCGCTACCCAAACAATGAGGCTGAAGCACATAGAGGAAACTATTTTTCACAAAGGCACCCCCTGATTTTCGAGGAAAGATATTCTCTTTTGAAATGAGGGTAAACAATTCCATAGGTAAAGACATATCGAAGAAATGCGCACAGTGCTTGGACTACACTTATAAGTGTCGCACAGTTTAGTCTTCTTTCAGTATGATCCAACGTACCGCACAAATCTTAATGCTGTGCATGTGTCTTTGTCTCCTGATATAGTTAATTATTATGACGGCAATATCTCCACGTGCTCTGCCAGAAATAGAACGCCCAGGTGATAATAAACACTCCGCAGAGGCTTAGAATAAATATGGCTGGCATTATTTGCAGCTAAATCTAAAAAGCGTGAAGTCTTAAGTATGACCAGATGACAAAGCAGGAAAGAAAGGAAGTGGGCGAGGGGAAGGGGCCCCTCTTATATTTTTTTAACAGGGCCCTCCGCACTGTTAATTCGGCCCTGGTTGTCATAATCAGTGCTGGTGAAATAGCAGCAGTCGACATGAAACTGACAGCCACTGTTAGCAGCTTGCATGCCAAAGCACATTTATGTTGTTGCATTGTTTATTTTGGTTATCTGGCTCACACAAGTAATGCAAATAACAGAACAAATATAAAACATCATTAGCTTAGGGAGAGATTAATTGCTCGTTCAGGCAGCCACCGTTGAACGTGATGCGCCCCATAGTGAAATAGCGGTAGTCCGAGCACACTTTATGATTATGTTACCAGTCTGCACTGAGAATTGAAGTGTTGTCACAGCCAATTTTTAATTTATTAATCTGACTTGGGCAAGTAACGAAAATGCAAGCACAATTATTAACATGATTAACTTTGCTAGCATTGTGTTGTCTTATTTACATACAGGGAAATGCTCAGCAATGTTGAATGTATTAATGAAGTTGTAAAGAAAGATGTGGCTGCAGCATGCTTTGCAAAAACAAATGCAAGAAAGACAGAAATGGGAATAAACATATACAGACATGAAAGCACTCACATATTCAAACACATTCACACAAACGCGAGCGCCAGAACAGATCGCAGAGAACAGTGAGCAAAAAGTTTAAGCCACACAGCGGTATGAATTCATGCCAAGCTCTCTTGTAACGACACCAGTGTATCAGTCATAATTTTATTTTAGCTCAGAGGCTAACTATAAGGAAACAAACACTGCTCCCAAATGCCTGACCGTTAATAATCCAATGGCATTCTCTGGACCAGCACGTGTAAGTCACTGATTGTTAGCATTGATGGAAATCAACCGATGGACGGTGTTAAAAACACTCGAGCGACGCTGCTTGACGCTTGGCTATCTTATCACACTGCCGCCACCGATCGGTCGTTTCCGCGCCCAGCTGGCAGCAACGACAGCAAGCGTTGGGGCTTGCTGTCGCAAATATTTTCTGTTGAGAAACTCGTAGGTTGGTTTCATCCGTGCATGCTTTTCTCATTTATCCTGATATAGGTTTTTCTCTGTCATTTCTCCACGTCCGATGAGAAATGCAGGGGCACAGTACACACACACCTGCCGCTCACAGTAGATACCAGGCTTTGGCAAATTCTATTCGTCGTAACTTCACTTAGGCGCAAATAAGAAATGATGAAACAAACACCTACATTGTTTGTTTGCATCGTTATGTCACCGCGAGATCCTGTTTCCAGACGAAGCGCAACACGGCATCACCGATGTTCGCTGCAATCTCTTTTCGCCGGCTCACGGCTCAGAAGAAAGACACGCAGCACAAATTGTGTATCGTAAGCTCACAATAATATTTCTGGCACGACAGATTACCACACATAATTCAAATTCACTCTGACGAAGGGAGACGCACACAGCGAATGGGACTCTGCCCAGTTCGAAGCGAGGGCGGCCATGTTAGGCATGTTCTCCGTCTTCTGGGTCCGCGGCTAGAGTGTAGTCCAGCGCATGACGTCACCTGAAGTGCGCGTCTATTGGTGGAGGCTCGTGTACGTCCACCTTTGAGGGGAAAATGCCGCAACCTTCTTAAATTGTATCAAACTATAGTCTGCATTTGACCCCCTGTAAAGCTAATTTCTCTGCAGTGGAGGAATGCTAAGCCGTGAAAGCACCTTTTTAAATGTATATTAGTGCCAGTGCCTCCTCTATTTTATCAATGCAAGCCATATTTGCCTGATCCTGCAGTTCACCGCCCTCTTCTATAGCCCTTCCCAGCTCTTGCCCATCACCTAGTCTTCGCCTGTGCTTTGTGGTCATGGGGAAGAGAGCCTTTCATGCAGTGCTTCACGATGGGAATAATATAAAGTAGTTTTTTGTTCAGTTGTGCTCAGGTGGCGTCATGCATTCCTCGTTATCACAATGTTGGCAGTCGCGCTGGCTCTGTAAGTGATACGGTGTTTTCAGATAGCGTGTCACGGTTGGTGGCGCTATCCGGCATCCAGTGAGGACGCGTAACTACAGTAAAAGCTTGTTAATTCGAACTGCAAGGGGAAGCCGTCTCAGTTCGAATTGATTGAAGTTCGAAATAACGAAAGTGAAAAACAACAACAGTACACTGCAACTCAGTAGGGCATAACAATTTATTTTTTGAAAAAATCTGTTATTAAGGTCTGCCTTCTTTTCTTGAAGGCGACAGCCAGCACTTTTTGCTCTAATGAACGAATTTGGCGGAAGGCCTCTTTTCCGCCTTCTTTAAAACATAAGACGAGACGGGCGGCATTTAATCCGACCATGTCTTCCGCAGCAGAGGGCTGTACTGGTGCTTCGTCCTCCTCCTCATCGTAACTGGCAGCGACAGGTTTTGCACTTCTCACATGACATATGTCGTCATCCGTGAATGCACCACACACACCCTTGAGTCCACATCGACGTAGTCTGCAAAGCAGACGTCTTCCAAAACATCCACCATGGGGGTGGCCACGCTGTGTTTGAGCACCGGTGGCTCGTCATCTTGTAGAGCTTCGGTGCTGAACCCACAGTGGTGATAGCAATTTGCTATTGTTAGTGTTGTCACTTGCTCCCAAGCACGCACAAGCATGTGCAGTGCACTTAGTAGCGCCACTTGGTAGTTATTGCACAAAATAATTCGTTTCAACTGTACGCCGCCTCGTAACTCAGCAGTCGTCATATCGAGTGACTAGCCAAGTCACCGGTGCGTAGTTCGAATTATCTGGGGCGGAACCTACTCGTGTTTGAATTGGTGGGCTTTTTTTTATTCATAGGCTTTTATGGAGCTTGGCCAAATCATAACTTACAGTTCGAATTATCCATAAATTCAAATTTTTGGAATTAGAATTAACGAGCTTTGACTGTAGCATTGTGAGATGGCGGCGATATTGCTTCCAGCTACAAAGAAGGAGCATGAAGGAACAAATATGACAGATGCATGACATTGAAGACGGACACAAGTCTATCGCATCTCCGGGGGAAAGCGCTTGGAAACACGTGTGACAGAAGCAGGGCGACCCCTCATATAGCGCCGCATCACGACGACTCCCTGAACTAAGCTGAACCGACGGCTCCTGTTGATATGCAGGCATTTGCACTGGCATTGAAAGAAATAAAGGGGGCATTGTTAGTGCACATGTAATTTTCTGTAAAGGTGGCTTCACTGCAGTACAGGGTTGTAAGCCTTGAAAACACCTATTCAAATGTGCGAGTTTACAAGCATACCTTTTAAAGGTGGTTTCACTGCATTAAAGGAGTGCGAAGCAGTGACAACTTCTATCCAGATAAATCGGCACTCTCGTGAAGCTACACATTTAAGTTAAGTGAACATATTATCCTTGCATCAATTCATTTTTAAAGTTTGAAATGTTGTTATACCAGCTTATATTCCCTTGGTATAGTAAAATATAAAACGTACCATATTTTACAGGTTAGCACTTGCGTTCTGGTAAGTCAAATCTACCTACTATTCAAAGTTGTTTACACTTACTTTTAATAACAACAAAAAAAAGGTATTTGTACAGGCCTTGTTTTAATTTTCTTGAAAAGTATTGTGCAGGTTAGTTAGTTCATGACAAATACGCTCACTTGTCTTTATAATATGTGATAGTATACACTATTCGCTTCAAATTTGCTTCGAATCTAAAACTTACTATTCGCACAAGCCTAAAAGTGACAGATTAGTGATTTGGCATACTATTAGATGACCACAACATTGCTCTTGTCGGCACTGGAGCCGACTATTCTATCGTCAGTAGATCATTCACCAAGATGCTAGCAGGATTGGGTTCGACCTTCTTTTTCTGCCACTTTGAACTTTCCGTTGATAGTTTTCGTTTTTGTTGTCTCGTTTTTTTCTGCGTTTATGTTTGTGACCCACTCTTAGATGTGGTGATTACTGCAGAGCAGGCATACACGGTGCACTTTTTTTGGCAAGCGTTGCTCACCATTTTTCTCCACTGCAGGGTTGGCTTCGAAGCTTTGGTGAACTGCTAAAGCATCCAGGTATGTTGTGACAGCTCTGTTGCCTGTGCTGCGGCGGCTGCAGTTTGCTTTCTGTTCACAGAGTCCTGGACGAGTGCCAATCTGAAACAGCAAGAGGAGCGCCTCATTGCCATCTTGCAACCTGAAGGTGGGCTGTTTTTTTCAAGACAACTAAATTGATGAGATGCGCAGTGGCAGCTGTTTGTCATATATTGCCCTCACAAAAATTATGGACTCGTTTTTTTTGTTGTTGTGTGCAACCTAATGAAACCAACTGACAGTGTAGCCAAGGAAAGAAAAGGAAAGCCAATAACGGCTAGAGAAAGGTGCATATATGTGGGTATGAACCTGCGTTCATCCTTACATATATGCACCCTCCAAGCTACGCACTCATGTTCACACTCGCGTGTATTCACCAGTGGGGCCAATAAATTTTTGAAAAATAAACAATGTTTTTTTTTTTACTTCCCAATGTTTTACCCTACTCTTGAAAATAGCACAGTGTATACAATAAAAGGTGCAGACTACATTTTGTATGTGCTGGCGCTGAAGTAGGTACCTTTTTTGAAAGTTGGTTTTAAAAAAAATTTCCGAGAAAGAATAACGAATATGAAAGACAGCAAATGGGAAGAGATAGCGTTTCCAGTATGGAAAGACTGTTTTTGGGTATGGGGATGGCAAAATGCTTGTGCTAGTAGTCTTAAGCTTCATAAAATGGCAGAGGGCAGCACAGGAAAATAAAAATGCGGACTGTGTGACAGAGACTGCATCACCCCTGGGTGAAGACACCGTTTCACTTTCTTGAAATTTATTGAGTGTTATCAAGCAATTTAGAAGTAACTTGGGAAGAATCTGTATGCTCTTTCCTGCCTTTTTTTTATAGGTCTCTGCCTGTCACAGCATGTAAAAGAACATTTGTGTGCATTTCTTTTCAGATGAAGACTTGAAGTTGGATTCATGCCAGTTGGAGGCATTGCTTCAAACTTGCGCATCCTCAACACAAGAAGTAACTCGAAGTGAGCTCATAGAAATGATAAACGAAATGAAAGTGCCCAGCCTATTGCTCGCACTGCCTCCATCACCAAAGCCAATTTTGTTTTTTGAAACTGATTCGAAGCCCTCATTGTCACCAGACTCACTATCACCTTCATTAGAGATGCCCCCTTTAGCACCATCGCCCACACTAAGGCTGTCTGCAGAGCTATCAGACCACCTTCCACTTGCGCCATCATCTGAGAAAATGCAATTAGAATGCCCACCAAAACTAGTCCCTGCCACGCCGGTGTCTGATGCTGGACCAGGACTTCTACCACATGCACTGTCGTCGGAGCCTGAGCTGCCAACAGCTGCATATGACGTTGCCTCTCAGGTGAAATTGTTAGAACCTGTTTCACTTCTGCCCAACTCGGAAGCATTCAAAGAAGCAACCTTGTCAAAAACTTTGTCAGGTGTCATCCCGCCTACATTGATGCCATTGGAACCTATGCCGGACCTTGTGAAACTGGCGCCAGCTGCTTCATCATCAGAATTGCCTGTGCCATCAATGCAGCAGGCACTTTTCTCGTCAAAACCAGCATCCCCTCCTGCTTCATTAGGAGAGCCAGAATCGGTGATTGCCCTTTCGGAACCAGCACCATGTGTTTCTCCATCGAAACCACAACTAACTTCACCCATTGTTCTGTCAGAACTGGGACCGCCTATTTCTTCATTGGAACAAGCACCAGTATCAACAATTGCCTTGTTAAAGCCAATGCAACCTGCTTCGATGAAAGCAATGTCAATGTTGGTGCCTGAACCACCCCCTTCTTCATCAGACGAAGAGCCAGAATTAGTAATTGCCTTGACAGAAGATCCACCTTTTTCTCTATCAGAAGAGCCAACATCAGTGATTCCCCTTTCAGAAATAACATCTGTTCCCTCACCTGAACCAGAACCAACATCAGCAGCGATTACGTCAAAACAAGTGCAACCTAATTCAATGGAACAAGGGTTGGCATCAGGGATAGCACTGTCAGAACCAGCACCTCCTCCTCCTTCATTAGAAGAGCCAGCATCAGTTACAGCACTTCCTGTTCCCCCATTGAAACCACAATTTCCGCAAGAACCAGCACCACCTACTTTTTCATTGCAATATGAGGCAGCATCAGTAATGCCACAACCAGGGCAACCTGCTTCATTGAAGCCAGTGCCAACGTCGGTGATTGATCCATCAGAATCAGTGCCACTTGCTTCTTCATTGAAAAAGGAGCCAGCGTCAGTAAACACCTTGTCAGAGTCAGCACCCCCTCCTTCATTAGAAAAAACAGCACCAGCGATTGCTTTTTCAGAATGGGCATCCCCTGTTGCCTTACCAAAAGCAGCACCGCTTGTTGATTCATTGAAACAAGAGCCATCAACTACCGCCCTGTCAAAACCAGCACCAGCTGTTTTCTCACAAAAGCCAGAGCGAGCATCAGTGATTGTACTGTCAGAACAAGTATTGCCCGTTTCACTGAAAGCAAAGCCAACATCAGTGATTGCCCTATCAGAAACATCACCATCTTCTTCTTCATTAGAAAAGCCATTGTCAGTGATTGCCCTGCCAGAATCAGTATCACCAGTTTCTTTGCAACAAGAACCAGCATCAGTGAGTGCCCTGTCAGAACCACTTGTAGAAGCTGCATATAAACCTTTGTACAGATCGGTGCCCACTGCATCAGAGTCATTGACACCTACCTCATCACAAGAATCACGCGTAACATCAGTAATTGACTTGTCCAAATTGGCACCGCAGAAATCCTCTGATAGGCCATTGATGTCCGAAACCACATTGTTGCTGCCTCAACCATCATCTTCATTGGACACAAAGCCTCCAGTACTCCTCTCGAAACAACTAGCGATGACTTCGTCATTGGAGCTGGTTTCTCCACTTTCTCCAGAACTAGTGCTAACGCCGGCACGGTCAGAACCTGTGTCACTGATACCACTGGAGCGGAAGCTGCCTACACCAGAATCAGAGCCAGCATGCAAAGGTATTTTTTTTCTCTGTGCCCTTTCTTTAACAGTGTCTTCGCAGTGTCTTTCGTATTTGTAACCGCTACCACTTGGGCAGCTATTACAAATAACACTCTGCCTTTGTTTTATTACTGCGAAATTAAATAAGTCCTGTGGCATTTCAAGAAACATGGCACACTCTTAGAACATGTGGAGACAGTCATGTGGTCATACGGACCAACACATGTTAATTTATTGCTGTATGACCAACATGTGTCGGTCATACAGACCAACACATGTTAATTCGCGCGAGCACAGTGCCACTGCTCGCTTAGTGGCTATTTAAGGGACACTAAAGTCAACTATTAAGTTGACGTTGATTGTTGAAATGGCGGTTCAGATACCTCGTAGTGTTACTTACGTGCCAAGGAAGGGCTTATTTTGAAATAAAATTACGTTTTTGTGCTCCGCATCGGGTTAGCGTGCTTCAATTTACCTGCCTCAATAAGTGGACCGACCGGTTCGTGTCACGTTACTGTTACCGTGCACAACGTTGCCCGGCTTTACTGCGCTAGTAGCAGCAGACCGAAATCAGCGGGAGCTACAGCAGCAACACCGGCCACTGATCAATTTCCCGCCATTGGCTTTGAGATTGCAGACGCTTTTGTTTCAACTTTGCCCCGCTAGATGGCACCACCTGTGCCGTGTAACCTTGCGAAAATTGAATTTTTGAACCACTCGCGCCATTCCCCATAGTAACGTCTGGCGGTTCTTTTTTCCATGAATCAAACAGAAACGAACAAGCAGCATTTTATTGCGTCTTTTGATGCACGGAAGGTTCTTTATTTAGTGCAGTTAGATCGATTACTAGTGATTAATTGTAGGCGGTCCATGTGATGTCATCGGGATCATCTTGAAAATGTCCTACTGTGGCACTTGTGTTCTTGTGCGTTTACCTTAATTTCTTGGTAAATAGGGCACTGTTGATAATATTGTCGTTTTAGATGTTGTCCAACATTGAGATTTCACTCTGACGTAAATTGTTATTTGACTTTAGTGTACCTTTAAAGGAGTAATGACTCGAATTTTAAACATTTTCAAGTTGTTGCCCCAACACTAGTGCCAAAGAACCCTTAAGAGAGTATTGTGGTGCGTGGGAATGCATCAAATATACGTTTAATGGCGCTGCCTTAAATAAAAGAACACTTTCGGTCTCGGTATTGAAAGGTGGCTTTTCGTGTCATGGCAGATTAATGTCACAGGGAGGCAGCAACTCACAATGTACAGGTCCGTCATCTGCTCGTGGAGCATGTAAACAATGATGAGTGCATTATTTTCCAGTGACCTCAACAGTGATTACTGTGATTTAGACTACATGTGGGATGCATAGTTGCCAAACTCAGTGGAACTGTGTTGACTCGTCGCAGCAATGTTAATTGCAGAGAGGCTGGCTTGCTGATGCTCAGCGATGAAAACTTTGAAGTCAAGTAAAATATTTTATACGTGTAGGCTGACTCTAGTGCTCGGAGTACGATAATAGTGCACACCAAGGAAACTAAAAACGTTTCATTAACGATGTCGCAAAATTGTGTCAGTTTTTTTAAAGGGTATACTGACACAAATACTTTGGCCTCGTGTTTTTTTTGCTGCATTGTGTTACTGGGGGCCTGTTAGTCGTAACACAGTACATTGTTTGCTACAGCATGCAATAGATAATTAATTAAAGGCTCCTCATTATCGACCAGTTTCAATTTTGGTTTGAGAGAGCTTCAAAAACAAGCCGCCAGGTGCAACTGTCGTCACTTTGCGTGTGTAGCTTTCGATTGCGTCTGCACACAAAACTGCGACACTTTCCCGCCCGTTTCGCATTAAGAATTTCTTTAGAAAAAGAAACAGAAGTAAAGTGTTGCCAAACACGACACTTCTTACCCGAGTGCGCAGCCACGGCACAAGCTACCAGCCTCTGACAAGTATAAACTGCTGGAACACCTTGTTTCCAGTGATTTCTAGTCAGAGAATATAGCCAGTGGGTATGGCTAGAAACCTCGTTTATGCGGATATGCAATGGTTATTTATTTAGTGGTGTTAGTGCTAGCATTATGGGAATTCGGTGGCACATTGCGGCGGCCACACTAACAATGCAACGCAATAATGCTTAAAGCAGTCAGTGGCTGTCCTTCTTTATGGATGTAGTCAATGTTGTGTGCAGTGTAATCTGTCAGCCTAAGAGTGAGAAATTTCTAACTGTCTTTAAACCATAATTGCAAGTTTCCTCATGCACACATCTCTATGATATTTAGCTCACATGTTTTCAGGAGCCTCGACAACTGACCTTCATCAATTCCTGTTCGTGTTCAAAAAGGGCTGCAAGGCTCCTTTAAAAAAGACTTATAACTGGGATTTTGACTCATAGGTTCCGCGTCAGCTGTGCAGGTATGCGTTTTTACTGTGCCAAGCTTATCATAGTGGCCATATCATTTGGCAGCAGTAGCATTCTAAGTGAAAAGATGTATTAGAAGGCCTCCGACTCTTTTTGAGCTGACAAGTGCGGTGCACACATTTCATGTTCATGGTCGCCTTCGCCGAGATTTGCAATGGGTGCTGTGGGGGTAGCTCGAATTTAGAACTGAACATCATTTTGTCTTATTCTCGTGGACACCATACTTCGAGACAGAAGGTGACGTACAGCACTGAGCTCATGTTTGTGTATATTGGCAACATTTCTTGAATTAATCAAGTTTCACAGCTCCATGTGGGCCAGCACTAGTGCCTGTCACCACGAGTCTTTGCAAAGAGTGTTGCTGCTTACGGCGCATACTGTGTTGCTTGGTGCTCATTTTCTTTCTTGCAAAATTGTTAACTGAGCTGATCAGAGCTGTGAAATTGTTGGTTGTTAGGGCTGTGCTGCACAGAATTAATTCAAGGTCGCATTGTTGAAGCAGCAAAAAAAAAAGTTGGACAAAGAAGGCATGAAACCACAAGACGAGCGGAAACTCGCAACTGAAGAAATTATGAAAAAAAAAATCATGAAATCGAGGTGAAACAAGGCAAACGTGAATCGCATCACAGCACATGTGCCAAGTAGGCTTGTGCAAATAGTGAATTTGAGGTTCGAAACGAATTCGAAGCGAATAGTGATTTTGATTGAATAATTTCGAATTGGATTCGAATGGTATGTATGACTTATAAAAAGAAAGGAATATTTATCATGACCTAGCCAACCTGCACAATATTTCTTTTGAATTGAAATAGGGGCTCCATGCAAATGCCATTTTTTTTTTCGATTAAAGGAATTCGAAACAACCTTGAGTAGTAGTTTCGGTAGGATGTGGGTGATAACCTGAAAGGTACTTAATGTTTTAAAATTTATTTTACTTGGAGCAGATAAGCCGTGATAACAAGCTTATTAAAATGAAGAATTGATTTGAGGGTGACATGTTTCTTTAAATGGGCCCCTGCAACACTTTTTCAAGTAGCCATGGAGCCAGTGAACATGCTTGTTGCCTCACAAGTTTACCAGCGCTAAGTTTCTAGAATCAGTCCAGTACGAGCGGAGTTGCAATAATATGTCTCACGCTGCAATTGCATTCTCTCATCTCGTCCCGATGAAATAGCTGCAAGTTAAGCAGGGGGGAATGGCATGGTGAAAGAGAATACGTTGCACGCACCTCACGAGCTTTAGCACTTCTTTTCGCGGCTTTTCAGTGCGATCACGCTCATACTCGTGGAGAAGAGGCGGCCTCCCGCAGCGGTCCCGGTAACAATGAGCACGCCATGCTCAAATCAGCCAATTGCTGTGTCCAGAGCAGTATATCCCTTCTTGGCTGTGACAAGTGATTTTTGAGCTTGTAGTGTCATTTGCAGAAGGAAGAAAGCAATTTTCAGCTTTGAAAATTCATTGTTAATGACAGGCCGCGTGCTGCGCTATAATATTTGCCTCGCGTGTTCTCGGTAGCCTCGACTACCGATCGGCAGCGTTTTCTGACCACGTTCAGTAAGTGTTGCAGGGCCCCTTTAATTTTGAAGAGGGGCTTCGTGGCAAAGCGAATTTGCCCCTGGATAGGTGCTTTCACGGCTTAGCACCCCAACATTACAGGCGGTGACATGCGGATTAATATACACCTATGTGTTCATTGCGAATACTTAGAAAATATTTGATAATTTAAATTTGAATCGATGCGAATTTGAATACTCAATTATTCGTTTGAATATTCGAAGCATTTAAATATTGGCACAGGCCTAGTGCCAAGCATAAAAGCACACTCTTTTTTTCATCAGTGACAATGATGCCTTACTGACATATGCACTTTCCACTCTTTCTATATGAAAAGCTTCAATCGCCTTTTGAGTAACCTAGCACCTATTTGTTGAGAGGACTTTTTTATCTACAATAGTGAGAGAAAACCCTGCATGCTGTAGTGCAGTGCGAAATGCAAAGCATCCAATTTCGCCAGTTACTGAATGGACTCTGTTAAGCACACGTCAAGGTATCTGCTGGTCTGCCTTACCTACAAATTCCCAGAAGTAAGAGGGTTCCGATAGACAGCACTGTACTTACAAGGCACATACATTAACCTTACATACTTTGTCCCACAGCCTTCGTTCTTAGTGCTGTTTTGCTCCAGTTTTCTGCTGGTGAGAGGGAGAAAATTTATAAAAGCAAAAAACACTGACTTAACCCTGTACCCTTTGCCTACACTGCTCAAGCCACAGGACAGTTCGTGTGCTATCAGCGTCAAATGAAACCCGAACAGCGGCCAGCCTTCGCGGTGATATAGTGTGCGCCGTCCACTTATGACCATGGAGAGGCACGCATATATGTGCAGAGCTGTCAAGCAGAATGCGCGCGCCGGTCAATGGTGATAACTGGACGGCACACACTATACCGTTGTGAAGGCTTGCCGCTGTTTGGGTTTCATTTGACGCTGATAGTAATCATTGCTTACTATCTTATTTTTTAGTGATATTGACTATTTACCAATCTGACTAGTCTGTTGCTACCAAATTAGTGTTATGAAAGTATGCCTTGTTCACAAGACTTGGTTATAGCCAACTCATAGTAATCTAGTGAATTTTTAATCACCTTTTGGAATTTCGAAGAAGATGGATAGAGCACTTGCTGGGATCTTGGATGATAATTCCAACATATATTGTCCTCGTATGAAAAGCGCAAATATAAAAACTGTATTGCCTTTAGCTCGAGCAACAATTTCAGTCCACAGCCACGCTCCATAGCCACACACACCTTGTTTCGCTTCGTTTTCTTGGGTGTTCTTTTCTAATAAATATTTCAGTTGCGAGTCAGCTGCTTCACGTTCACATGCAGCTGTACCAACCAGCCCAACTTTTATCCTGTTGCATAAACTCTAGAAAAAGAATGAAGATACATCGCACACATGTATGATGATGTGCGAGTAATGTGCTAATGTGTACACATCATGGGATACTTGAGATCCCTTATGGGAGAAGGCAGGGAAGGAACTTGGCTTGCGAAGCCAATACAGAGCAAGGTGCAAAGTTGTGGAGCTTGCGTCGCATCATGGTTTTATGCCACTTCAAAATATTCTGTTTTTATCTCTGCTTGTAAAGAACCAATCTTGAAAACGTTTAAGGTAGAATGCTTTTTGGTATCTAAGTAATAGCACAAACAAAGGTGGATAATGAATCAGGTTATGCAAATGGACCTAAAAGAATAAATGATATGTGATGGCTGCAGCAGATGAAAGTAAAGAAACCAATTTGAACAACCGAGTGGAATCACCGCTAGCTAAAATTAACCAGGCTTGTTATATAGCATGGAAGAAATTTTGTGACAACCATGAACTCATTTGCTGTTGCTGACACTCGTTTCCTCGTCCCTGTTCTATGAAACCTGAGTGGTTAGAACTGCAACTGTTATGCCCTCTTTCATAAAAGCTGCCTGATGTAGAAGGTTGCATTGTGCGTGTTTCCATTAAGCATCCACGTAATGGGAGGCAGAAATGAACAGTTTGAATGTTATAATTTTTATGAGGGCATGGTAAATACCGATTTTCTTGTAATGAGATACTACAAGTTTGATTAGTTTGTAAGCTTGTGAATAAAATATTTCCTATTTATTTTACATATTTTAGACTTAAAATCAGGTAAGAGCAGCATACTGTAACAGCAATAAACTCTCGGAATTATCAACTCCTTGAAAAATTTATAGGTGTATACATTTTGAGGTGCCTGCAATGAATCACGATGCACTGTTGAAAATGACAACTTGAATGTTTGTGTGCATGTAATGCAATCTTTATGTAATACTAAGCATGCTGTGGTGACTTTCTATTATTTTCAGGCCCAAGCTCGCTGGCCAGTGCTTGTAAGACATGGCGTACTGCTAGCACAACTGGCAAGGAACTGAGTGAAGAATGCAAGCCCCTGTCAGGTGGAACTCTACACGAGCAGTTGGCATCACAGGAGCTTCTGCAATCCAGCCAAGTGGCTGAACTGCCTCCAAGAAGGCAGTCGTTGGCCAGGAAGAAGAGGGTCGTGGACCAACAGTGCGGGAAATCTGAGCTTAAACATGAAAGGCAGGAGCAGGTAGGCCATTCTACTTTTGTCCTTTAAGGCATAACGGTAGTTGTGTGCATGTTTAATTTTGTGCCTTCTGAAGTGAACTTGAAAGTGATCAACAAATTGTGCTGTATGAGTACGAAGGGCAGTCAAACAGTTGGTTCAGTGTACTGATGTTATGACTTATAACAATGCTTGCCTGCTCACTCTTGAAGTAGGACCTCTGCATGGGCACACACTTTCCTTATTACTCCGGCCACTGTTGGGAGCAGCAATAGACGACTTCTTTCGGAATTCATCAGAGCTTAGCCATCACATTTTGTGATGGTTCTGTGTGATTGCAAAATTTGTTTCCTTGATGCCTATAGAAGATATTCAGGTTTGGTGCTCGGGCAACGCTGGGTGCGCCCGTCATTTTTTGTTGATGCCGTCATGGAATCGTCCACTAGCATATTTACAGCCCCTTCATGCCCGAATTATGATACAGTGTCTACTAATTTGTCAAATTCACATCATAATTCCATAGCACTCAATATTGCATTCTAAGAAAATTAAGCATGTTTTGTGTGAATTCCAGTCATTGATTTCAATTTGTATTTAATAAAGTACTTCATTTTTCTGCAGTCAGTCATTTTTCATTTTGATATGGAAAGAATGAAATCACAGGCTTCACTTGTGTGCACATTTAGTTCTTGATTGTATTCACTTTGTGAAAAGAAAAGTAGTGCTTTTGACTTTGGTCCTGCGGCGTGGATTGTGGAAGGACCCGTTGAACATTGCAGTACCTTTGCGAAAGTGATCGATTACAGTGATATACAACAGGCGAAGTTAAATCAAGACATACGGGCCATCTAAAACGTTCAGTTCATCCAACGAGCAATGTATCTTGCTCTCTTTTCACCACTGTTGACATACCGTATTTGATAGATATTTTATTTTGTTGTTGTTCATAACCAGCTATTGACCTACAGTGGACTCCCAATAAAGGAAACTTGCTTAAACGAAAATGCCTCATTAACGAAACTAAATGGGCTCGTAGGGCTAGATTTCTATGAGTTGGGTAGTAAAACTCATCGGTTAATCGAAACAGTGCTTACTTGTCATTTACGGTTAAACGGCACAAACTCTAAACAGCATAGACTCGCTCAGGCCAAAGGTAATCTCATAACCATGGCAACACCTCGAGACAAGCCAATCCAGTAGCCATTTTCGCTTGTGGTGGCTGTGGGAGCAGAGTCGGCGAGTCAGTTGTGTGTTAGGTCTATTTGTGTGGCTAAGTGAGGTAGATCACGGTGTTATTTCAGCTTGATGGAAAGAAAGCGGCCACACCATGCACTCTCGCTTGAAAAACAGCTGCAAATTCTTCTGGAGTTTGATCAAAGCGGCCTGCCCAAGACGGAGGTGGCGAAAAAAAAAAAAAAAGGCAGCGTATCCACGGGGCGAATGATGGAGAGTGGGGCGAAGCATCCATCTGTCCATTCGTTCTTGCTTCCATCCGTCGATGCGTCCGTCTGTGTGACCGTGCATGCGTGCGTGCGTCTGTTCGTGCATCCGCACGTCCATCCGTGCGTCCGCCCCTGCGTTCGTCCATGCATCCACTCCTGCGTCCGTCCATTTGTCCGTGCAGCCATCTGTGCGTCCGTCCATGCATCTGTCTGTGTGTTTGTTCGTCCATCTAGTCAGCACTCCAAGTACCACCATCTCGCATCTTTTCATCATATATTCCGCATATAGAAGCACCGCCATCCAGCGGACATTCCAAGGTATAAACGAGAGGTGGCACACGCACACTTTCTTGCGGCTTGCTCTTCGTGTCTACTGCCCACCTTTAACCCCCTTGAGTTCATGGTATATACTAGTTCACTGTATTCATGGCACTACGGCCCAACGCTCGCTAAACCTGTCTAAAACCAAGAAGGTTACGCCCAGCGAGTATAACGTAGCAACCCTTTCTTGTCAGATAGTGCTCAATGTACATGCCAATGGCTGCTAATGGGGAATGAGAGACAGGAGAATTCGGCTTTTAGTTCACGCGCACACTGCGATTTTTTTTTGTTCAACAACGTACAGGAGAAATCTCCCACCGGCACCACCTTGCAGGTCAAAACATTAGACATGTTACGCACTACTACAAGAGACAAACGGGTGCCGCTTTAAGGAGCTTCGCTCCTAAAATATAACATCCCGAAATCGACGCTGTCGTGTTTCTGCAAAGACAGAGAAAAGACTGAAGGCGCTTTAAAGAACGGGGCCTTTACATCTAAACGAATGCGGATGTGGACGATGTTTTATGAACAACATGAAAAAGTTCTTTTTCTGTGGTTCAAGCGTGCACAGAGTTCCAGTTACCGTATTTACTCGATTCTACCGCGCCCTCGATTGTAACGCGCACCCGATTTCCACCGCGAAAAAAAAAAAAAAGCAAAACATCGATTGCAACGCGCACCCATTTTTCTCGCTGGTTTGCACGATCACACCACTCGAAAAAACGACTCCTTTCGGGAGCGTCTTCCATTTAAATATGAGGTACTGGCGAAGCTTGTGCCCATATGACGTGTAACAGAGCATTGCCGTCACTGTAGTTTTACCGTGGACCGATGTCAGCACGCGAACTTGTTTCGCCCCCTTCTTCTCTACGGTTGTGGTGCCAGGCATGTCGAAGTAAAGAGGCGTCTGATCGGCATTCCCGATTTGCCCAAGCAGGTAGCCGTTGTTGCGCCGCAAGTTTAGGACGAACCTCTGAAAACTGTGAAGCTTTTCATCGTACTCCTCAGCAAAACTTTTCGCATATACATGTTCCCCTTCGGAGGGAAAAGCCTTTCCTCTTCATAAAGTTAGTTAGCTAAAACCTGCTCGCTTTAAACTGGCTCTGCATTAGACCTTTTTCTAAGACTAATTGCATAGCCCGCACTTGGAGCAGTTCTGTCGTCACAGGCCGCTGTGCCGCTCGCTGCTCAAGCACATACTCGCCGAGCAGCTCTTTAATTTGCGGAAACCGACCCTGCTGTGGTCCACTGAAGCCTTTGCATGAAGCTTTGCTGTCGACAATTTTCTGCTTTTGTTTCCGCTGGTCCCGCACGCACGTTTCGGGAACTCCGAACAACCGCGATGCGGCCTGATTTCCGTCCGTTTCTGCACATGCGATGACTTTTCTTTTAAAAGCGGCATCGTGGTGCACGCGAGTTTTCGGAGTCGGCCCTTCCACGCCGTCGATGCTAATGCACTACTAGATGACGAACTCCTCAGCACACGTACGAAGTGCCGCACATGGGAAACACATAGGCAGAAATGGCCGACGCGCCATGCCGACGCACGTAGGGGGTGGCCATTTTGGATTGGCCGATGGCAATAGATTGACCGTAATTTTTTTGGTTCGTACTCGATTCTAACGCGCATGCGATTTATGAACTCGCTTAACCGGAAAAAAGGTGCGCGTTAGATTAGAGTAATTACGATAACCCATAAGCGGTAATTCTTGAGTAGAAAGCTTGAGAGATGGCCATGCAAATTGGAGTTGAGAACTTCGTCCTAAGCGACGGATGGCTCAGCCGCTTCAAAACACGCCATGGCCTAGTCTTCAAAGAAATCTCAGGTGAGAGCGCTGCAGTCAACAGGGACATTTGCACCGACTGGCAACAGGCGTGGCTTAGGGAAATTTTGATGAGCTTGGAGCCACGAGACGTTTTCAACCTCGACGAGATGGGTTTTTTTTCTAAGGCGCTTCCATCAAATACTCTCACCTTCAATGGCGAAGCCTGAAGTAGAGGAAAACACAGTAAAGATTGCATCACTGTGCGGGTGGGTGCAAACATGGCAGGAGATCAGAAATCGAAGCTGTTGGTAATAGGAAAATCAAGGCACCCACGTTGTTTCAAAGGCGTTCAACACCGTCCCGTTGCGTACCATGCGAACGGAAAAGCGTGGATGACCATGGCCATTTTCCAAAAGTGGCTATGGCAGGAAGACGCAAGATTTACAAGGCGAGGCAGGAAAGTTGTCCTCATCGTGGATAATTGCCCAGCTCACAATCAGGTTGAAAGACTCCAAGCCATCACTCCGGATGTTCTTGCCAGCCAGTGCAACGGCAGTGATCCAGCCGATGGATCAAGGGGTTATTCAGAACATTAAAGTTCATTACCGCAGACAATCACTCCATCGAATGCTGCTTTCTGCAGACAGCGGCAAATGCTACAGCATAGGTTTATTGGCAGCCATCCACATTTTGGCTCGTGCGTGGGAGCAAGTGAAGGCAACAACAATACACAGATGTTTTCATCGTGCTGGCTTTCGAGTGCAAGAAGCAGTGCCTGATGAAGAAAAAAGCCCTGCTGATGCCGACATTGAGGCAGTATTCAGTGAGGCCGTGCCCTCTGCCCCTTTCACGCTGCAGGACTACGAATCAGTTGATGAAAATGTTCATACCTGTCGAAGAAATGATTGCCGAAGTGCAAGATGTGGATCAACCTTCCAGCGATGAATTTGATGACAATATTGCTAGTGCAGTGGTGCCACCAGACCGATCAGTTAAAGAGGCTGTTGAACTTTTGCAGCGCTATTTTAAGGGGGGATGCTACACCTTCCAAAAACTCTTTTATTTTTGCGAGTACCTCAGTCAAATTTGGAGAGCCTATGTAGATTTTACTGCTGATTTCAAAAATCTAATGCTTTTTTTGCTGTGACAATTATTTTTAAAGATATAATGAACTGCGACTTTTTCAATTAAGGCCTAATTAGCTAATTAACTGTAACTTGGATATTGATGTGCAACCTATAGAACCAATTCGGTATGTTCACAGTGTGCAATAAAGTATAAATCATTGTTCTGGGCTATTTCGAAGCAAAGTTGTGGGATGTTGAATATGACATGAAAATTTCCCCATCTACACTTGAAACAAAAGATCCATTTAGAGAATTTTCTCCAAAAATTATTACAATAAAACTTACTTTACGACACATCCCCTGCATTTATCTTCGAAACAAAAAAGAAATCGTAATGATAACCCAGTTAGAACAAGAGATATTGCTCC